CGGGTTTATTCTCCAATTTTCTTTACAAGGAGCGGGGCAGCCGTGGCCGGCGAGGGGCCGGAGCGGGTGGGGAGCCATCCCCGGCATCAAATGGTGCAGTTTCCCTCTCCGAAGCGCCGGCACTTCATCACCTTCAGGTAGGTCTCCACCTTGTGCAGGTCCTTCTTGAAGCAGGAGAGCAAGCCGTAGTTCTTCAGCAGGGCGTCCTCGTTGCGCAGGTGGATGTCGAATTTGTCGTAGGTGGGTTTGAGGATCTGGGGACCCCGCGGGCTCCGGTCCTCCAGCTCCTGCGAGAGGATGGAGAGGTGCTGGGGGAGACGGCGGGGGCCTGGGGATGAGCATCCTCCAAGGGGCCCGTTGCCATGGCTCCCGCCCAGCTTTAGAGGAGGTTGGGTCCCCCCCCCAAGCATATTTCAAACGTACTTTTGAGTTTATGTGCTTACAGAAGGGTAATTATGCAGGGGTGATGCTACACAAATTGCTGGCAGCAAGAAGGGAGCTGGGCACAAGGCTGCAGGGAGGGAGGAGTGTGTCTTTTGGGGTCTTAAAATAAGGGGAAAGTTGCAGGGTCTCTCTGTAGCTACTCTAGCCAAGGAGACGGGGAACCGGGCAAGTAATTCTCTTTTCTCCCACTTCCCCAGTGAACAAAGCTCTAACGCAGACCCAAGGCACGTGCACCCGGAGCTGAGAGAGCTGCAGTCTGCCACTCCTCCTGCCCTGCTTTGCTCACCAGATGGCACAGTAAACAGGACAGTTTTGGTTAAGTAAACAGTGTTGTAAATGGATGAAATGTGATTATTTGTCTAGTTTCTGTGTACCGCTTCCCAATGCCCAAGCACATATTAAATGGAGAGCAAAATCTGGAAGTGGTACCGATACATACACCTACTTGCTCCAGCTGAAGTGCAAGGACAGAAAATATCTGTTTACTCTCAGGGCCTGCCTTTCAGAGTTATTTAGGTGCCAGAAGATGTAAATAGTTGTCCAGACTCATTTCTCACAGATACAGGTCTCAGAGCTCTAGCTACATGGTGATGCTGGAAGATAACTTAGTTATAGAGTAAGCATAACTGAAAAGGTGTCCTGGCAAATAATAAGCAGTTTCATTTAAAATAACAAAGCAAAAATTAAGAGTGACCCTTGATGAAGATCACTCTCCAGCTCTCGGCTGTCTGGGTGCCGTATTAATGCAAGAGAGAAACATCAGAGCATAGGCTTCCATCTGTACAGACTTACACAAGTTGTTTTTATAACATGTCGTGAGTCCTTAAACCCAGGTTGCAAACATTGCAAAATTTACTGCACTTTAAAGTATTTTGCGTGGAGATGTAGCAAACATTATGTTGCTGTTTGTACAGCAGATTTAAGCAACTGAATATTCTTTGGTGCTGGGTTTGGAAAGACTTTGGGCCTGGACTGTTGTGATCTTCCTGGTCTGTACTGCTGAGTGGTTATGGCAGCACTATTAACATTTGTTGCGTGTTTTCTTATACTCCCCAGTGATGAAACGTGTGCAATGGGGTGCCATGATCTCATTATCTTAAGGTAAGCAAAGTCCAAAGGATGCCACTGGTCTTCAGAGTGGAAGGTGGGGAGAGGTCTCATGGTTTCTGGATCCCGTGGAAGACCCTGAGAGCCGAGTGCCCCGTGTCTAGGAGATATCTGTTATTCTGTAGTCACGCTACATGCTGCAACTTACCCTCATCAGAGCTTGGATCCCTTCTTCCAGGTCCTTTAGTTTTTCATACACTCTGTCTGAAGTGCCAAAAACCAGGTTGTTTGTGAACACTTTGCTTAGGTATTGCACTGGGGTCAACCAGGACTGGATGAGAACCAGTGAAAACCGAAGAAGCTCCATGTCCTGAAATTAAGAAAAGAAAGGGTCAAAGCTGTGCAGGTGAGGTGTTTGGTAGAGTTACCCATGTGTCCTGCTCCCTCTGAAACAGCCTGGAGGTGACCCAGAGATGTGCCACTGCTCCTGCAGCTTCAGCAGATACGGACAAGTTTGCAAGCTGAGGAGCACCACCCAGCCGTATGTCCTGTGCAGACAATAGTTTTTCTCATCCTCAGAGTGGGAACATGATTTATAGCGTAACCCAGAAGAGTCTGTCTTTCTTCATGCAGGGTTTAAATAGTAAAAAAAGGAGAGGGGGAATGAAGCACTGAAGTGCTCACAGATGGAAACCCTCTGTTCCTGTAATGAAGCACAGCTGGGCTCTTCAAACAGGTCTGTGCTTGCCCCGGGGGAGAGAACTTACCGATTTCTGCTGGGCGTCATCCTTCCCCGTGGGAGCAGGGATGGTTTCCGAGTAACAAAATGCTGCCTGGGAATTTTTGTTGGCGTGTCTTTGGTCCTCTGGAATATAGGTGCGTTCCTGTGGAGACATCCCAAATACACTCAGATCTGTTGCCTGTGTACTGGGAGAAGAGCATAGACACTTTCCCAAGCTGTCCTGAACAGTTACTTTTTGCAAGAAATAAATGTGAGACATGAGGTGTCTCTGTACAGGGTTGGCAGGTAGGAAGCAGGAGTTTGTATGTTGGCACAATAGCTACTGGGTCTAAAGGTCTTCCTCTCACTAAGCCAAGGTGCTAAGATGGACGCAAAACACACTCGGACCGGGTTCTCCCAAGGAGTAAATGACCCCCAAGGACAGCTCTTGCCAAAGTGACAGCTCATGCCAGCTCCTGGCAACAGCAGAAACTGGATGGTTTTAAGCACTCAGAATTGCCCAGGGCCAAAGGTGACTGACGCAGGAAAGTCTTGCAAAATATCTGTGCCATCTCCCACTGCTTTCAGAGCCAGGTTTCTCTTTGAGACAGCTGGCCCTGTGCAGTAGGTTTGGAGGTAGGCAGCAATGGCCCTGAGGAGGGGGCTGTGCAGGGTCAGAGATGGGGGCAGAGAGCTGAGAGGAGGAGACAGGGTCCAGGCTGATGGGACATAACCTGTCCTGTCCTATTAAGACCCTTTCGCCTCATCAAGAGCTGACAGAGAAGACACCAATAGTTGAAAAGTCTCTGTTTCTGGGAAGTTACAAAGTCCTGAAACCAAGCTAAGGTGGAGGAGATGCCCAGAGGCCACGACACTTACGAACTCTTTGTATGTCTCGGCAGCCAGGAGGTGAAGGTGCTGAGCCCTCAGCACAGCGTTGGCAAACAGGTTGGAAAGGGGCATGGCCGGGAAGGTGGCAGCTTCCTGTGGCCACTGCAGTCCCAGAGCGATCACAGCAATGACGAGAGGAGAAAACCATGACCCTGCAGCAAAGCGGAGAGGAAAGGTGTTAGCAGTCCTTTAGTGGCTGTGCTGAGGAGGGGGGTGGCACCTGCGAATTAATACCCAGCCTCTTCTCTCCGTGCTGCCTGAGGGATCACCTTCCTTGATGTCTTCTTGGACTCTGGGGATGAGCTTAGCCCTCCCCAAAATCAAATGAAACCCCGTCCCCTTTCACTAGACGTGCCCTCGGGGCTTGTGCTGCTCCCAGTGTCACAAGCAGTGTCTTCCTGGCTGAAGAGTCATGGTTGCTCCATGAAAACTGGAGCGTGTCCCTATGTTTTTCCCTAACATGCTTATGTTTTTCCGTAGGCCTTGCCCTCCTGCGGAGAGCACAGTGCACTCTTCATTGCGTGAGCAAGCAGGGCATGGTGAGTACCAGGGGAGGGCCTGGGAGTACCTCACTTTAGCCTTGGTTTACGCCATGCTGCTGATGTGAAACCGGCTGTCTGCCTTCACTAGGACGAGAGCTGATGACATTACCTGTGCTGTGACCAGCTACTTTTGCTCTCTGGGACATACCCGCAGAATTTGGTGATCTTTGTCAAACCTGAAGGTTTTCAACCTGTGACATCTAACTCTCACAAGTGTCCATCTGTGCTTGCAGAGACCACAGAGTTAATCTCAGACCAATGCCCTTCAGTGGAGGAATGCCCTGGAGCCTGTAGGACTTGGACATACGCATTAGACATCATCCTGATCCCTGTCTTAAGCTTTGAATATGAGTTTTAATATCTCTGCCAACATTTATGTTAATAATAACTATTATAACTGTGGCTTGACCTTGTTATTCATGTTCTCCATCCTCTCCTTGCCCAGTTTAGGCTAATGACTACCTAAGTTATTTGAT